GAGTGAGAGGGTTAATGTGTGATTCAAGGGTGATACAGAAAGGAGAAATTAGATGCTTATCACTCTTGGATGCAATGGGTTAATCCGCAAAAAGGGAATTCATTCATAATCACCACAATCCAAAGTGTTTTAAAGACCTGCTTAAAAAAATTATTTGCTTTATAGGCGGGGCTATGCACTAATACCTCAGCTAAGTTTCTTCAATGTATTGTTACTTAATGTATTTTCTTACATTTGTGGAGGGGGACAAATTAAAAACAATCTCTGAGTGAAGTGTCTTGGTCTTCATCTTTCCTTGTTGAAACAGTTGCAGAGCTTTGTGTCCTGCTATTGCCACATGAAATGGGTCTATGATCTAAAAAGCGTAATCACAGGCATATATACACAATCACTCTCGAGAGAAATACAAAGCCTGAGACTTTACAGAGTAAACTTGTGGCTGGTCTGCCTATGACATACAGAAGATGCTGGGTAAAATATTGTTACTTTTCAAGCAGCTAAAGTGCAGAATCCCCGGCAAGTTTTTTCACATTGCATTGAATATAAAAATCTTCCATTGGTTTTATCTCGTACCCCCAAACTTGTCAACCGTCGACTCGTATACCATATATATGTAAGCAAAAGGTGTACATATTTCCATCTTTTTTTTCAAATTGCAACGTATTAAAAAACGGGTGTGTTTATATTCATATGTACGCTTATTGACCTCTGCTTTCTCTGAAATTCTTCCAAATGCAAGCAAACTTTCTCCTCAAGTCTCAACCTAAGCTTATGTATGGTAACATGTGAGCTTACCCAAGCTATGTACGAAGTTAGTAAATATACAAGTGAAATGACCGTACCATAGATGCATTTAAAAGGGCAGCTTCTATTTTTCCTTGGATGATCAGTTGCCTAAGCTCGCTACTGTTTGTCACATCCGTAAATAGAGCCATATTCGTAGTATAACTCGGGTTACTTTGCACGCTGTATTGGACGATAAACTCTTCCGCCATCTTGAAATCAGCTGAGCATGCAGATCAGCGGCTACGCATTCTAGTTCCAATCTTTCTCGGTTACTAAACTCAGGCACGCACTACATGCATTAATAACTTGCTGTTTTAACAGTGTTTCACACGTTCTAAGCATTTTGCGAAGCAACTCCCGAACAAAAAAGGTCCAGCTGTGGTTCATTCCTTAATTGGAAATTCTGAATGGGAACTGTGGGTTCACGGACTAGTGAAGAAGTTTCAAACCAAGAATATCCTCATGGAAAAGTGAGGAGTGGGTCATGAGGTGTTGAAAGGAATTCATTATTTTGTTCGTATGTATGTTTGTTTTTTCCAAATATAAACTTTGAAATTTATCGAGGTTTATGGTATGAAGGAAGGAGATGAGCATGTATTTTACTGGGAAAACACGGTTCTATAAATAGAATGGGACCCTTCTGTTGTTATTCTTTTCCACGCTATTCGGTCACGCTACGTAATCACTTAAAAATACGCGAGCGAAAGAGAGGGCATAGAGCTGGAAACCAACTACAAAAGGCTCGTTTCAAGGCCACTCGTTAATGAATGCTTGGGACGCTGTGAGGAGCACCGGGTCGGCCTTGAATGGGTGGGTCCTTGGAGGTGTAGAACTCACATAGGAAACAATCAATAATCCTTTACACTCATGTCGTTGATAATATGACAATAGTTGTTCCTGTTCAAGTGAACAAGTTGATTGACATTTGATTAATAAATGATTTGTAATTAACAGGTTGAGGCGTAGCCGTTTGAGCCAGAAAATTAACCATTGATCCATAAGCAAAACAGTTTTTGACATAGCGTTTTTTCACAAGCACGTTTACTTCGCTTACCTGTTGAACTGTTTGGTGACCCGCTTGTTATTCTTTGATAAAAAAAAAAGATTTGGCAGGACAACGCTACAGAAGTAAGTCATGTCGTTTACCAGTTGAACTCTGAGTATTTTCATTACAGTTCTCTTCTATACAACTTCCATGAATCTTTCGTAATGAGATTTCTTACGTATCATAAAATTCCCGTCTATTAGATCCAATAAAAACTTAATACGATTTGTAGTCAGTTGTTGAGAGCGAACTATTTTACCCAAAACGATTGCAACTCAGATTCTTGCAATGAAAACCAAAGAGTTTACTTTAATTAGAGTTCGATTTTGAAGGTACAGGCTTGTTAAGTTTCAGTATGATGTAACTTTAAAATGTCTCATCGTCGGCGTCGAAGTCTGGGAATGAAATGCTTAGCCGAACGATTAGATTCCTTTGGAGGAAGAACCTACAAACGAAAACGAAAACGAAAAATCATAAATTAAATTATTTTAAAAACAAGCGTTGTGCTGGTGATAACTAATTACTTGGAAATCCTCAGCGGGATAGCGGAATGAGAATAAAAATAAAACCGCTTTCATTACTAAATTGAAAAGATCTCTGGTTCTTCTTGTTGTGTACTAACAGTTTGTTTACATCGGGCAAAAAAAGTAGCCTATTGGAAAATCTTTTATTTCAGCAGGACAATGAAAAAGGATATAGCCTTATGGATCCTTGTTACTAAATGTAACAATGAATATAAAATACCTGAGATTTCAGTGATTCCTTGAGCTCACAGATTTGAGTCTTCAGATCTTCAAGCTCACTGCAACACAAAGCAACAAAGCTAAAGAATGATTTATGTTTATTTTTTTAATAAATATCGCATACTAACTTGTTTCAGACATGATTTTATAAACAATGAGTTGTTTTTTCTTTTTCTTCTTCTTCTTCTTTATAGCAATTTGTTTGAGTATCATATTTTTCCTAGATATAAAGGATGGATTTTTCAGAAGATGGAGAAGGGGGAAGGACATCTTTTATTAGCGTTCAATGAGAATCTAAGAGCTTCCTAATATGTTTCACTAAGTTTAATTTTTTCTGAACCAGAAAGGAGTCAGTCATGTCATGGGGTCATGCACACCTCACCCCACTCTCTGCAACGCTCTAGTTTTCGAATACTGCCGTTTATTACTTGGGAAATATAGAATCACGTCAAATCGACTTTGCAATTGCACTGGATTCCTTAAGTATTAACTATAAGTCCACTGAACTTACTTGTCTTTTTCGTTCAGCTCCATCTTGGCCTGAAAGCGACGAAAAAAAAATATGTATGTAAGACAAACTAAAATAGTGTGATCGGATCGGTCAAGGCTGGAACCTATTGCTAGTTAAGAAGCCACGACGATTGAAAGCCCGCCCCTGACCAGACTTCTCGCAAACAGTAAAACAAGAAAACTGCGGCGAAAATAGGCTTCCTATTTTGTAACAGACCTAAACGTCCATTTTAAGTTTTCTTGTGAGAAGAAGAGAAACAAATTTCTTTAGATGTTCGGGGCAATGTAAAGTTTGTTGTTAAACATGCCTTTTTTTTAATTATTTTTCTTCCCATACTACAAATGTAGGAAAGACAAAACACAGACACCCAAAAAAATTGCGGTACAAACTATCGATAAATGAAATTACATTGTAACACTCTTCCTGGCCTACCTCAACACGCCAAATCGAAAATTGCCTCTCTCTCTCAGCAACTCCTCTGCAACAAAAATACAACCGTTTTTTACTCAAGCGAAAGACGAAGTTATTCAATTAATGGCACGGGACTTTCTGATTAGTACTTCTTTTTAATCCAAAATTAAATAAATCTATTGTAGCCTCAGAAAATTTCATCATCTTCCTTTACATTTTCCTATCTGTTTTTTTCCTCTTGACTTTTTACAAGTTGGGTCACCTGTGACATAGCTGCTAGACGTTTAGTTTCTGACATTTTCAACTTGAGTGAAAGAGAGTTGTGGTTGAAAGAACATGTTCAAAACATTACCTCTCCATGTCTTTACATTCAACTGGGAGGAGCTATGAAAGAAAAAAAAACATCTGTTCTCATCAAATTATAATTAGATGTCGCGTTGAAATTTTTTTTTATTTTGAATTTCAAATTACAATTTATCTCTTCCTCTCCCCCCTTCGTGCTTTTTTTTTTGTATTCACGTGCGAAGCGCGTGATTTCACAAATTAGCCAATCAAATCAAAGAATTCTAACTTAATATTGAAAACTGACGTAGACATTTTTCCCGTATTTTTGTTGTTTGTTTTTACGGAGTTGTTAGTCAGTTCTTTTTTTTAGCTTTTGTTCGCGCAAATGTGCTACCCTTTTCTTTGTATTTTTAAGAATTTTCAGAGTTTAGCCAAATGTTGTACTTCATTAAACAAGTTTAATACATAATTTCTACGGAGTTTGGACTCCGGCCACTTTTTTCGTAACTGGATTTTCTATGTGCAGCTATATGTATACAATATCATGCAGACAAGTGATGAGAATAAAGAAAAATATCAATCATGGTATTACTAATTGATCCGATACCAAATTCTCCAAACTAACATAATGAGAATCATTTGGCCATTTTGCAGACAGTAAGGAGAATTACTAATGAGATCTTAGGAGTTAAAGAGTTAAAGCAGACAAGCGTTTATTTCCGTAAACTAGTCGCATAAACACTGATGTTCAATTACGTTCAATCAACATTTGTACCAAAGTCAAATCATAATTATTCTGACCTCTAACTCCGCGTTGATCTCGTGTTTGGACGCTTTCAGGAGACGTCCCTGTTAATAAATCAACACAACGAAAATTTCATGAAACAATAGGGGATAGGTAACAGTATTTAGAGAACGCTAATTATTTTTGGTTTTTAGGGAGGACGGGGAGGGGATCAGTCGTCGCCAACAGAGCGTGAACAGAAGGGGTACTATAGAAAATTGACTGCCAG